GCTCCTTTCGTACCTCCAACATTATTTTCAATGTGCGAAGGTTCATTCCTCCAGTAGCTACGCGTCATGCATCGAACTTCTATTTACGACAGCAATATGCTTGAGAACGTTTTTGTAATGCTGACCAGAGAAGGTCAATAGGTCAATCCGACGGTCCGCTAGGATGTACATCAATGTGTGCGCCTTGAGACGTTAAACTTAATTCTGCCTCCGGAACAATCTCTCAGCGAGCTTGAGAAGCCCTTCTCGTCAGCGTTTTTGAAGAGCCTGAGCACTGTAAACGATCGAACAACCAGTTTACCAACGAGCCGTATTGAATATAACCTGGTAGGCTGAAAGCCAGTACCGCGAGAATTTCGTCGTATTCGAGGTCGGTAAGTGAAGGACTGCAGTAATTGTCTCGATTGAAATTACACGGCACCTGTAGCGTGCTCCACAAGAATCCATCATGAGTATGATTTTCCTGTTTATAATGGCAAAGCAGCGCTGAGAATGGATCTACGGTTAAATCTCAAATTTTGACTAACTTTGAAGAAGTGTGAACAGTTATCTCTAGTGGTCCTGGGATTGAATGGTCATCAATGAGTAGTCTTGCTTTGAATATACTCTCCAGCAGCATTTTTCAGAAGAGCAGTACCTGGTCCACGTGCTGCACCATTTGAAGGATTCTCTTGGTTACTAGAAGTAGATGCTCCCCTAGGACCAGTCATCAAGGAGCCCAGGGAACACTATCAGCGAGCCAAAGATCTGGCGAACGCTGCTGTTGGGACACATGTATACGCACCTTCTTCAAAGCTAGGGGAATCTGAAAAACTGGCTAGTAATTCGTTTTAGGGTTTGCTTGATCCTTGACGACCAATGTAGTCGTTTTACACAGAACTTCCTGTGGTGGGGTGTAAGCGCCGACACGCCCGAGCCTTCCGCTACGCAACAAGGCGTCCAATCTTGCAGAGACTGCTCGCACGCACTCACTAAAAGGAGATAATCGATGCTGAAACTTTCTGAGCAAGTAGAAAACGTAGGAATCAAGACCTTCGAACTAGTTCATTCTGTGCTGCTTTTGACGACCAATCGCTACCGTTGCGCACTGCTGTCCAGATCTTTCTGAGTCTCAAAAAAAATTGGTGATCAGCGTCCTAAAACGCGTACACTGTCCACCACACAGTGCAACGGGTCGCACTGATCTGTTGGTATTCCCCTGGTGGCGTCAGCGCAAAGCGCTTTCAGAAAACTTCACAACATAAGAATTCGTGGCTAGATTATCACATTTCCGATCCAAGATCGCACACCTATGTGCTATTGTTCACCTATGTGCTATTTCGAAGCTTCTTTGGTTTACTTGTTCTCGGCTTTGAAGTGCTGGCGTTCCCTCTAGAGTGAAATTCTGTGAGAAATGGAGTGGTTTTCTAACGTGTTTTGTTTGTCGATAAGGAACTCCTTGCTCTATGAGAGAAAGACCCAAAATTTTGAGCTCATTCGGGTTTTTTGATAGAAACTGAGTGTCAGGCTGAAAGAACTGAGTGTTTCGTACAGCCTTCTGCGGTTGAGGGGGATGCTGAAGCAGCAGAAGCAGCTCTAAATATAAGAAGCGTAAAAACAAGGGATACAGTATGTTGAGATGACCCAAACTGATTCAAGCGATAAAGAGGGAATTTGGACCTTGGGAATACATCGCCCAGGCCGCGCACTTGAGACCGGCCGCATGCGGAACTCTTACACCAAAACTGAACCTCTACTATCGAGTAAAGGTGAGCTAAGGGTGCTTGTGGATCATTACATGACCTCCGCTAAAGCTTCGTTGTCTGGCATAAGTTTATTGACCAAAGTGCTCTCATTCAGCAGAATTCCAATCAAACTCGGTGAGGCGGGCGATGCTTGTCTGGAAAGTCGAAACCGAAATCGTACGATAGTTTGCATCAATTCATTGGTTGGGGATTTTGGTCGAGTCCATGTGACCCCCACCCACTAGGAGATGACTTGATATGACCCTCCCCCTGGTTCCCTCCTCTGATACGATCGAGCTGTCGAGAGGGGGTGGGGGTATATCACATGTGAAATGGGCAAAACCGCAAAAAGTTCAAAAAGCAACAATCTGGAAAAATTCTTCCCAACGCCTCGGATTTCTCTCAGAAGGTAAATATCCCTTCCCCAGCGACCAAATACGACCCGTCCTGTTGGGGAAATTGAACAGAAAAGCCACTGCGGCATTAGCTTCCTATTTGAAAGCAGAGAGTAGAAGCGTCGACATCACACACCAATTTCATCGCTCAAAATTGAAGCAAACCCTCAAAAAACTTAGCACACCATCTTACAGTGCAAGGAATTTTCCATCAGATTTTATGAGATATACCAGCAAACCACACAGACAGGATAAGACCCGAACATCTGAAGAATCTTCCGCCAGTTCTTGTCAAAACTCTGGCTCGACTCTTCACGCGCTACCTGTCGGAATGCAAGGTACCCACCTCGTGGAAAACCAGCAAGACTGTACAAGAAGGGAGACCTGTACGACATTGGCAATTATCGCCCAATCTGCCTGCTGTCTGTAGTCTACAAACTCTTCACACGAGTCATCCTGAACAGGATTGGCAGAACACTAGACGAAGGACAGCCATGCGAGCAAGCAGGGTTTCGAAGAGGATTCAGCACGATCGATCACATCCACACGGTAACGAAGCTCATCGAAGTATCGCGAGAGTACAAGATGCCGCTATGTCTCACGTTGAGACAGAAGCGGTTATCGAAGCCCTGGGCAACCAGGGTATTCCTACTCAGTACATCAGGATTCTTCGTGAGCTCTACAGCAACTTCACGACCAAGATTTCACCATTCTACAAGGAGATCATCATCGATGTGAAGAGAGGGGTCCGACAGGGCGACACCATCTCGCCCAAGCTCTTCAGCGCCTCTCTCGAGAACGTCATGCGTCAACTGGAATGGGAAGACATGGGAGTGAATCGACGGTCGGCAACTACACCATCTCCGCTTTGCTGACGACATCGTTTTGATAACACCAAACATCGAGCAAGCGGAACGAATGCTGGCTGAATTCGACTGCGCGTGTGGAAAATCGGTCTACGGCTGAATCTAACGAAGACGATGTTCATGAGAAACGGATTGGTTTCTGATGCCCCATTCACGCTCAACGGAACGACCATCTCTGAATGCTCTAGCTATGTGTACCTGGGTCGTGAAATCAATATGATGAACGACTTAGCACCAGAGCTGAGCAGGAGGAAGCGAGCGGCTTGGGGAGCCTTCAAGAACATCGAGGGAGTAGCGAAGAAGACGAAGAAACATCAAGCTCCGTGCCCACCTCTTCGATTCCGCGGTCCTTCCTGCCTTGACTTATGCCTCAGAGACTTGGACTCTACGAAAGCAGAGTAAGCATGCGGTTGGCGTTATTCAGCGCCACTCGGAAGCGATACTCGGAGTTTCCCGCTACACGCAAGTGAGATAGAGAATCCGGAGCTCGCGCACTCCGCCGACGATTGACGATCGAAGATCAGAGACGCCGCCGCATTTGCCAAGGTTTCGAAGATCAGGTGGGCCGGACACGTCATGCGTTTCGAGGACGACCGCTGGACCAGAGCGATCACCGACTGGATTCCACGGGATGTCAAGCGAACGCCTGGACGACCGCCTATGCGATGGTCAGACTTCTTCGTGAAAGCTCTGAACGAATGGTATGAAGTTCATCGTGTCCCTCGAGCAGAGAGAGTCCATTGGGCAGTTCGTGCACTTGCAGGGACGAACTGAGACGTTACTGGCGCCCGCTCGAGGAATTCTATGATCAACGGGAGCACAGGTGAAAGGTGATACTAGCAAACCACTTCATCTTTTACTCAAAATTTTGAGGTAAAGGAAACGCTGCCACAGATGGTCCAATCCAGTAGTTGGGATCACATCTATTCGGGAGATCGCAGCTAGTGGAACTTTTGATTGGCTCGAAACGTAAGTGATCTTGCAATGGGGCTTGCAATTCAAGTGCCTGACAGCTGCTTTATTGTTAAGTTCGCTAGTATCATGATTACAAACGATGGTTCCTTCGAGCCTTCAGAATTATTCCTGGCACCGTTCGACGACGGGAGGGGGCATTTTGCACTTCTGCTACTTCCCATCGATGTGCCGACCCATCTAGAGAGCATTTTCGTGAGTTGACAAGTTTCATCATGGTGGCTCCATGAGCTTGCTCCTGCTTCACAGTTTAACAGGTTTCATCAGTGTAAGATACGCAAAACGGAAATACCGGAGCAATGAAAGTGCAAAATGCCCCCCGTCACCGAACTGCGCCTTATTTCTAGCTGTGCTGAAGTGCATTGATTATATGTGAAGTTTAACTGTTATAGTGCACAGCAAGCTTTTATGTAAGGTGTGCCTGCATAAACTTACATCATCTGCAGTATCGAATTCACTCTTAATACTGTTTGGGAAATGGCAATTGGAGTCTTCGCCATCAGACATAACAAATACAGCTTTACCTTGTGATGACTCTTTCTGAAAAAATAATGCTCAAAACTACACATTCAGTAGTCAGTCCAAGTGATCAAGTGGGGGGTTTAGTCAACGTCGCAGGGAGCCAAGTGCATGGAATTCGATCTCCTAGATATTTGGCACCAGGAAGCTCAGTAGGCTCCAGATAAATGTAGATAGAGGTCAGAAAATCACTCAATTGCCCATTAGCTAGTTGTGGTAATCATTATTCTGGGTGCATAGCAATTTGTCTCTAGCTATGCTGGGTGCATAGCAATTTGTCTCTAGCTATGTGAGCGAACAGAACTTATCGAACGTTGTAGCAAACTACATTGAATAAGTTCGAGCATTGAAAACCAGCTCAGGAGAGGAACGAAAACTCTGTTGCAGCTTGGCCTCCATTTTTCTACGGATTTAGGGTAACGCGTAAAAAAATCGAAGATTGGCAGTGGCACAGATAAAGCAGCGTAGATTGTAACGAACTAGGGCGAGAGGGTACTCATATAATACAGAACTTTACAGCGTCCCATCATTGCACTCTCCAAAGTTGGTCAGGCCTCAAATGCCCTCAGTCCACATCCTATTCACTATCCAAACTTGTGCCTTGAAGAATAGGTTGTCTTCATAAGCTCTACATCAAGCGGAAGATAATCCTTTCCTTCAAAGGCACCATCCTCAGCCGATGCTCTGAGAATTTTATTGTGAAAACACTTACGTCTAATGCTTTAAAGGCCATATCGAAAGCTTCCTTCGTTCCAGTCATGCTCTCACTATACGTCATTCCATCGAAGTGAGATCTAAAAAACTTGCAGTTGGAGTTTCTTCTGTAGTTTTGCAGGCCCCTGTTTTCCTGTGTGTGTTTCTGAGATTTTATTGAGTGCCTTTTTGCACGTGCTGCCTTGCGCTTAATGTCCGGCGAAAACAGCATGTATTTGCTCCTAGGATCTTATGCCAAAGTAATAAAAAATCACTTGAGCTGTGCCGAAGTGTAGGAGCCGATGGTGAGGAAAGTTTCTGCAGGGCACGAAATTTTGACAACTCCAACTCGTATCCCTGCTAGTTGATCTACTATGCCCAGCAAGAAATTCTTTTGCTGAAATAAAAGTTTATATGCAACATTAGGTGGAATGCGACAAAATGGAGTTCATAATCTTTTCCCATGTACACCGCCCTCTGTTGACCAAGAGTGTCTCTTTCAATTTCAGTCGTACTTGTTTCATTTTCGATACCACCACTGCTTTTCTAATCCCTACTATAACTGTGAAATAGCACATCTGTTTGTTAGCAATTTCGCTCGAAATTCGATATTACTTTGATAGTTCGTTGGAGGGGTCGGGCCACGTTTGTTGTGGGAATGGCGTGAAGCGAGTTGTAGGGAAGCACATGAAGGAAATACAACAGATTCCATGTGGCTCTATACAGTTCGGACCTCTAATGATACGCCAGACTTCTGGAGGCTGGAGTTGTGTGGGAGTTGGTTCCAAAAGGTGATAGAACGGTGGGATGAGGATCTTACTTGTGGGTGACAATAAGTAATAATGGCCGATAATAGCTGGGGGGTCATTAGAGAGGTTTAGATTAGCCACAGTTAAGCTAATAAGGGGCGTCTAAATGAAGCCATAGCGCGATTTATAACTCCAAAGGTTTCATGGCTACACATTTAGCAATTGAACCGAAAAGGGAAGGTAAATAGGTCACCCTGACCGTACAGAGAAGATATATACCGAGGTAGGCGTCTGGACCCTGAATTCAAACCAGCCTTGAAAATTTGCGAAACGCTTCCCTGACTGGAATTATGGAGGCTTTCTTCTCCAACTTTATATGTAAAATGAGGAGTTGATATTCCAGTAGCTTCATGCTCGACTGCTAGTGCGTTCGCTTTGTTAGCATAAGAAAAGCTTCGTTTTCTTGAGATGACCAAAGTTTTGCTTTCTCGATGAACATGTCCAAATTCAACATCGCTTACACTTTCAGCCTATGCCACTGCGTTGTGCTTCTAAATATGACTTTCCCGAAAGAGGGTCCCAGTACGACTACTCCCTTCCCAGGAAAAAGGGGATGTTATCAAATCGGAGACTTGAATTTCAAACGTTCGCGCGCATTCAGAAGCTGCAGTGGAACACTTTTTCTGCCTCTGAAGGAAGGTCCGAGCGTTTACTGCGTTTTGTTTGTTTGCTGAGTCACGACATTGTCGTGGGCGGCCACCGTACTTCTTAACACGATCTCATCTCTCGCGGTTAAAATGCTCCCCCCTCTATATTGATGAAGATGCCGTGATTATTTGGAACGTCAGTAGTATAGTTCGTTTTCCTTTCTCGACACTTCGCGCAAAAAGCGATCATCGCTATAATTGTGGGTGGATACATTGTGACTACCCCAACTGACTAACGCCATCGTCCTTTGCCTCACGCAATAGCCCTTAGTGACTCGAAGCGCCTAAGCGCATTATATCTTACGACTGCTGCCAAAGCATGCTTCTCCCGTCTATGCGTTAGCTCCAAGACATACTTCCACAACTCGAACAAGCCTTCGATTAGCCAAAAGAGAGTGCTTCATGTCACCTATCGCTCGCAGCTAAAACCTTCAAGAGAATCGTTGCTTTATGGTTTCTCTACGCTACAGCGTCCTAATCACGCTTCACTTAGCACTCACTGATGTCGTTAATGAGGGGTGATTGTAGTATGAGGGGAGGTGGTGTGACAAGTGGCGCGCTTACCACACACGCGGTCTGGGTTCAAATCCCGGGTCGACTCCCGCCCAGGCCAACCAAGCCTTCTACCCTCCGGGGACGGTAAATTGGTACCAGATTCGGGAGGATAAAACACTGACTTGTACATCGGCTGGCCACCGCAAGTCATTGTATAGGCCACATCGCATTCAGTAAGCCACTAGGTTCTGAACGGATTCTATTAGGTCAGGTGCTTAAATCGGAGAAACCTGGTAGCTTCTCCATAAATGCTTTAAACTGCGAGCAGTCCCCTCGAGCTACTAATACTCCCCACAGATTATGCTAGTACCTAACTCATTGAACATTGTAATGGTGGTTGATACAAACACCCTGGGCGCCGGAATATCTTACCACATGATACAATGCGTTTCAAAGCAAGATGGCGGATTGGGCTTATCTCAAAAATAGGCATACTCGTACATCGGCCGAAGTTGAAGAACAACCTATTCCCTATTTAGGACGCATGATAAACCCCTCATTATCACCTAGTATTCTGAACACTTGTTTGATATTTAGTCTCTGAGCTTTCAAGAAGATGAAGATTTGCTGAAGGCATCAAACTAACGTCTGTTCTAAATTATCGTGGAGTATTGACAAATAGTGTAGGCTTGAATGAATAACTCCATCAATTTGCAGCTGAATTACAATTATCCATAGCCGTTGTTAATTACGGACTGCAGCGGGTGTTTGGCCAAATCGGGGCGACACTTATTCTTAGCTGCATTTACAGAGCTGTTTGTAGGAAGCTTTATTGAGACAGAAATAAGTAAACCGAGCACCGATTAAGGTCCGTATTTGTTGCACACGGAGTGTGGTAAACGAAATACCTTTCAAACTTAAAAAGAACTGATGCAGCTGATACGTACCGCTTCCCATCCCGATTCTAAATTTTCCCGAGGAGTCTATTTGATGAAACATGACATTTGGTTGGGGCACGGTGGGGAGACTACGCCATGCCCTTATTGGCGACATTTAGTAAAAATGCAAAATTTGCGTAAGACACCACAAAATTTGTACCGCTTTTCAAAATCGATGTGGGCCTTTGAAAAAACTATGTATATTAATTTGAATTATCCGTCAGGCCTAAAAACGTTGGCCATCCTTTCTTGAATGATCTATGATATTATCTGATAAGAGATATCTTCTTCAAAGCAGTTTTCCGCCATCTAGCCGATGGTCAATGAGCAAATCTTCGCTTAGTACGCTCGTTCCTTTGTTGCATGAGCCATTACGTGCACAATCAGCAGCGCTTCAGAAGAGAGACCAGTTTTGGTGGTTCATGGCTGTATTTTGCAAAGAGGGAGAGGAGAATCGAGCATCTTTGGTCAAAGTTTGCACGAGTCTGTACGTGTTGCGAGCTGAAACGGTGCTTTCCGTAAGACAAAGGACTGTGTAAGACACCTCCACGGAAGTCTTTGGTAGAGGGCTGGTGAGCACGCCCTTTTTAGTCATTGACTTCCGCTAAAAGAGTAGAGCATGTGAGAGATTGACAGACGATCACTTCCTCGACATCATATATGCCTCCTCATAAGTATGTTAGTCCACAGCATTTATTCATGCAGATAAGCCACCGGAAAGTCTGCCTTGTGCCGAATAACATCGCGAGAAAAAGCAATTTGTTCGGGTATTGATTTGGCCAACATTGAATTGAAGGCGATCGAATTTTGCAGCTGGTAGAAAAGTTGTTTGTTTCGTAGGCAATGCTCCCTGGTACATAATTTGAACTTTCTCAAAGAGGGTGAACGCAACAGATAATGCAAGAGTGGACCATGGCAAGTATCTATTTATATTTGATCTAAAGTTGGTGAGTGAATAATGGGTTTCAATTAATCTACCTATGGGTGAATTGACAGTGAACCAATGAAGGCTAGAAAACTAGGAAAACACTGTTTTTCGCAGACTAACACATCCGACATGTGATTTTGCAGAAAAAAATGGCGACAGTTATATTTTCGTGAGTTCCTGTCAACATATGGGCCAGTGAAACAAACCACATGACACGTTTTGAAGGGGTGTGTGACAAGAGAATTGTAGTTCGTCGCGCTGGTGGGCGTCGCGTGCGACGTCCGCAAATGACGATGGTTCCAGGTAGTAGATGGCGACAACAGGCAATTCAGAACCGAAAATAGTCATGAATGTCTACGATGACGGGGTCTACATGAAGTCCGGTGCTCCAGTCGACAGGTTAACACGAGTTAAGAAAACGCCGCGCCCATCGCCGCGCGCGGCGGAGCGGCAAATTACGATTCTCTTGCCCGTCTTCCCTAGAAAACTATCAGAACACTGGTGTTTTTCCCAGACTAA